TCAATTATATCAACAATGTCATTAATATCACGTAATACATGTAGATCAATTTGTAGATCAATCTTGTAAATCATTCTTTGATCAATTCTGCAAATCCCTTTTGTAGATCGATTTTGCAGATCACTTTGTAGATCCATTTACAGTATATACTTTTATAGTTAAGTTTAATATAATTATAAACATAGTAAATAAAAAATTTTAAAAAGAAATAATAAAAATTAGAATACTATTGATTTACTCTTTATATATACACATCCTTTTAGGATTAATAAAAAAGTTCATTATAATAAAGTTTTAACATATATAAAAATTTATTTATAAGAGGTAATATTATATAAGAGATTATTTATAAGGGATAAACTATATAATATATGTTAAATCCCATTCATTTGACTTTATTATACTTATTCTAATATTTGAATAATATCTGACATGCTTTATGTAGCTATATAGAAACTTGATTTTTTCTAATTTTATATTTGTTCTATTTTATAAATTAAAATAAAATAAGTTTATATTTTTGTTAGTAGAAAAAATTTTATATCAATCAAAATTTATTTACTTTAAACTATAATTAGTCCTTATATTATTAAATGTTAATTATAAACTTCTATTCTAATTAAAATACACTATTAAATTAAATATATTATAAGATATCAATTTACCAATATAACAAATTTAAAGTATTCATACTAATTTACAAATTTATTAATTTATTTTAGTTTGAATTATTTTTAATATAACTTGTAATTTTGATAATAGTGAGTAAGAAAAATTATCAAGGATATTTAAATTCAATTGATATTATTAATCTCAAGAAAATAATTTACAATCTTTAATAAGTGAAAAAGATATAAATAAAATTGTACACAATGTCATTGTGGAGGTTTTGGGACGAAGTCCTACAACCCTATCAATAATATTGTGTGCTCTGTTCACTTGTAAAATCAATATCGATTTTTTACTAGTCTAGAAGAACTTCTGGAAGCTTCAGCTTCCTAATTTCTATATTTACTTATTATATTTTAATTTACTTACTAGTAAAGAATGTATTTTTTTGAAATATTTCAAAATAATAAAAAAACTGACTTACTATCTGAACATGCAAAATTTCATTACTCAAAACATATCATTGAACTGATTAGTATTCATTAAAATTATGTTTATAAGGCGAACGTTCATTCAGGTAATTTATTGTAAAATCTTACTTTAAATGAAATTTTTTTATTTATAGTGGTAATAAAAATACAATATTGTGAAATTTTTTTTTCTATTATTTTAATATTAAAAAAAAAATTTCTTTCAATTAGTATACTACCGGCAAAAGCTTTAATAATAGGCTGATTTGGTCACAGTAACGAAGATTCAAGCATAATTGTCTGTGATAAATTTACGCCATAAACTTGTTTAATTTCTTCATTCATCTGGATTTTGACTTTAGAATGATTACAAAGGTAAGCCAAGAAAAAGAAGTCGCAGCTGTAGTTGTATTCCTCTGATGATCAATTCTGTTATAATCTTATTGATTGAAACGTCTGATAAGGATTCAGAATAATCTTCCAACCTAATTTTATTTTGATCACGTAGTATAATAAGGTCAAAAGATCTGATGATAATACTGTTTTGACAGGCATCACTTCAATCTCTTGACGCCTTTCTTTAACCCCTTTATCAATCACATCTACTACCCCCATAAAATAAACCAATCATTTCGTTTAAATAATTAAAAATTGTGTGTTTAATACAACTTAGTACTCTTATGATATTTCACCCTTTAAGGAAGCATAAAGGTTTTCAATGAGATAACCGTATTGCTTTAAAAGATGTTGAGGCATGTCAAGTTTTTTGTTAGTTTAATGATTAAAATAATTTGCTTTGGCATAACTTTTCTTATTCATGAAGTTTTCAAGTATTAAGTCATTAGAAAACATTCTTATCCACTTTGGTATTTCAATCACAGTTCAATTATCTTGTTCGATGACACATAATAAATCCCAAAATTGAAATAACTCATCACAATTCTTTTCAATCAATTTAATTGTGTTCCTTAAAAATCCAGTAGACATCAAGGTTTGAGTAAGAATTCTACGATTTATACTCCAATCTTTAAATTTTTATTAAACATGACTCCATTTTTTTCCAAACCTATTGGTTCTGGGGCATTGTGTTCCATTTCTGTTTATTGGGTTTTCGAAATTATTGAAATTGCCTATTATGTGTGATGATCGACAAAAACACAAAACACAGAAATCACGTGATAAAATAATTAGCCGATCACAGCATAATATAATACAGAATTTGGAGTGGAAAAGTTTACAAATTATTTAGATAATTTTATTGATAAATCAATTGATGTGTTAGACATTCTAGATTTAAAAGAAAAGGATTTTGATAAATTAGGCATTACAAATATTGGAATTAGAACCAAATTAGTAAGAAAAGCCAAGCAATGTTATAATAAATAAATGTTATAATAAAATTTATCATATATAAATCACATAAATTCTTTATTAAATTTTAATAAATACTGTTTAAAATTGATCAAAAATTTAAAAAACAAAACCAAGAGATTTTTTAAAATAAGATTTAGCAAGTTCAGATGTTATCTGTGAACATGCTACCATCATACTATATTCTGCATCTGAATAAGTTTCTATAAAATCTCTATTTCCTTTAATCCAAATTTTTATTGTTGAAAATGCTAATTCTATTGGATTATAATCGGGTGAATATGGAGGTAAAAATAATATTTTACAACTAATTCTTTCAATTAAATTAACCAGTTCTTCATCATGGTGTATTTTGGCATTATCCATTATTAATATACTATTTTTACCAGGAAAAGGATTCATCAAAGGTAATTACAAATATTAGAATCAAGTTAATTATCATAAAACAAATAAATAATTACATATAAATACAAATTATATATACTTACTACTTGTGATAAGATAAAAGTACGAAATCTTTCTTTTAAATAACTACCTTTCATAATATTACATGCAATAAATCCATCCATTGTGAGTGCAGGTAATATTGTGTATCTAGTATCACGTAAAAAAACCACTTTCTTGATTGTAGGTTGATTTGCAAATGAATAACCATAATTTCTTGATAAAGTTCTTTTATCTTTAGAACTTTCATCCAAAAAAATTAGTTGCTCTGGCTGAAATTCTAAACCAATAGTATAAATAAAATCAGCTC